TAAGGTTAAGCTACGGAGAAATAATGACAAATATAAATTCACAAGATGCAAGAGAGAAGAGACTAGGTTAAGTCTAGAGGTAGAGTTATGTCTAGTTAAGACTAAAGATAAGGTTAAGCTACGGAGAAATAATGACAAATATAAATTCACAAGATGCAAGACAGAAGAGACTAGGATCACCATCTGTGAATATGAAACATGAATATTGGGAACCACAATAATGACTTTGTCAAGTAGATTAAAGGAAAGATAAACAGGAGGAAAGAATTTGAATAAAAAATACGATGAAAAGGAGAAGAAAAATGAAATAGCAAGTAATTATTTCAAAAGTAATTTCTCCATTAATATTTAGTATACGGTTGTTATTAAGTATTGAATTTGATTATAATTAAAATGGTAATTATTAGTGTTTAACTGATTCTTTAGGATATTCGCAAAAAGTTACTCGGTGGCTATCTATGATAGGTGTTACATTTTTTTTGTTTGTTTTTCCTTAGCCTCTAGATACATAATAAGCTATGGATCTTAGCGTTGTAAGTCAGTAAACATACCGCTGAACCACTATGTAACATCCTAAACTGGAACTGAAGGAAAGTAGGTAGTCAACAGTACCATTAGTCAACTATTAGGCTACTTTTTGACTGTCACCCTTATAACGCATCTTTTTTATTTTTGTCGTAACGGAACGAGAAAATCAACTCGCAGCTACAAAGTTCAGAACGCTGGCAACTGAGCCATCATCAATTACGACTGTAAGGAAAATAATTTTAGAGATGTCATAAAGGATAAAACTGTTTATCGTTTCATAGTTTCATCTTCATTATAGAGCTTTAAAAACTTAGTATAAACAAAAGTACAGACACAATATTCTCAAAGAAGTAACTGCAATGAGATGATATAGCTAAGAAATATGACATACCTGTATCCATGTATATTGACTATAGCATGGGCTAGCTCATTGTCAGGTGGAAGTAAGTCCTAAAAAAAAACATATTCATATTTCAGTATATGACGTATCATATAGAGATGATTCGCCAAATAAAAACATACTATCTAAGATTTTTTGTACAATAGGTTAGCGAAATTTGTAATATATACATATATATATATATATATAAACACTATTTGATACAAAAGAAGACGTTGGTTGGTACAGTTCTAGTCTTTAACATACATTAACTGTATTCCCGATATAAATAAGTTGACATTCTTAATCTAGATAAAATACTTATCGCGTCAAGATATTTTACAATCGTTGTTACCTGTCTTGAATTTGTTTCCAATAATTATTTCTCTTCTTATCTTGAATATTCTATGAACATGTTTTGAATAAAGCTTACTACTTTTAGAAAATACTCATATACATCTATATTTGTGTTAATACAGTATACTTATGACTGTAGATAATTTATAAAAAATAGTTTAATGTGTGTAGAATATCAACATAAAAGTTGTGGCCATACGTTTGAGATACTATTTTTAATTGCTATTATATTTCGCCTGTTTCATATATTATCTTCACTCAATGTACGAATTAAATATATTTAAGTTACTCACAATAAATTCATTGCTGAAAAAACAAATCTTGATTTCAAGAGCTTGCTCAGCAGCCTCTACTTTGAGCAGTTACAAAGTGGCTTAGTTAAAATTTAATTTTTTTGTAATACATAGCAAAGCCATATTTTTCATTACAAAGCTTTTTTTTTTTCATTATTTCAAATTCTGCATCTGAAACTGGTGAACAAAATTTATTTAAACGAATTTGCTTTATCGAATATATATATATATATATATACACATTATTTTTGCATCGCCAATAAATATTTGTAAAACGTTTTGTAAAACGATTATGGACAGAACGCATATAAGAGCGGCGTGCTTTGGACATGATAGCCTTATGACGTAACCATTTTTGATAGAAAGTATGCTGCAGGGTTATTTTTAAGAAGCACAGTGATCAGATAGAGCATGATTGGGCTTAGCGGCATGAGCTGTAACGACATGATGGTGATGCTACAAAATCATTTTGATATAACGTCTTCAAAATTCTTTATAATAAATCAGTAAAGAACGACACGATAGGAAGTGTCGTCACGTAAATAGTTTTCCTTTACCAATGAAAGCAAGTCTGCTATTTCATTGTAGAAAGCAGAGTTGATACGAGCGCCTCCTTGCACATCATTAAGATCTATTTCGTCAGTTTGACCTACGATTCTTTTACGCAGGTCTTCAATAAACATGTTGATCAACCTGAAAGGACAAACCAGCCAGTAAATCGGGGAAATTAAACACACATTTCTGCCTGAATAAATACTAATATCTTGAATAAACGTTTTCACACATTATTTTTTATTAATGAAAGTCGCTAAATGTTTACAAGTAATGAACATCTTAAACATTAAACATTTAGATGTTTATCATTATTAACAAATTAAACATAGTCAAACATAACATAATTAAACATAACAAAATAAAACATAGTCAAATTATTCGACCTGATATATATAGCACAAAGCTACACAAAGGGCTATCTGTGCTCAGCCCACCACGGGTATCGAAACCCAGTTTCTAGCGTTGTAAGTCCACAGACATTCCGCTGTGCCACTGGGGGGCATACAAATAGTTTCATCTGCAATAGCTAAAAAAGAAGCTGTAATATTAGATGTACTTATATCACAATGGTCAGCCAATGAGCAAATTCGTCAAGATACTTAAGAAAACGAACCATTTATACTTTACTTAAGTCATGTTACTTTCGTTTTCAATCACCAGTCTTTATAAAAATAAAGACTTACTTTATCATGTATTTTTCTTGACTAAGCTTATCAGATTTTCCAAGAATACTATCAAGTTCAAACAGTTCTTTGTTCAAATCCATTAAGTGTTTCTGAAGAGCTGCGCGGACCCCCGGAAGTCTCTCTTGGATGTGAAATTTCAGCTGCTTATTTAGTGTTATTTGAAGGTATTTAGTACCCATTCTGTCAGCCATATGTCTGAAACAAAAGAAACTAAATCACTCAGTATATAACTTTCTAGTATATAACTTAAATATGTATCTAATCAAGCTTACAATGACATATGTTGAATCGAGTTTGTAAAAGCATCCTCATTATATATATAAAACTGCAAGTGAGAGATTAATTGACAAAATATTGAAGTAAGCCACGAATAAAAAACGACAACAAGTAAGAAACATCGAATGTGAAACTGCATGTACGAAATGAGAAAATATTATACATTGAATTCCTACACAACATTAAGGCTTTTTGAGCATTTAATAAACGTCAAAGATCAATGTTATAAAATAGAAAGATTGTTTTTTTTTAGCAAAGCCACACTCGGTTATCTGTTGTGAACACCGCGGGGAATCGAACTCCAGATTTTGGTGCTGTAAGTCCGTAAAGTTATCGCTGTCTCACTGGGCGACAAATAGAAATAACTGTGCTCTACTGGATGCTATACTTGAATTTAGTATCATGCTGTATACGTAGTTCAAAAATAAGCTATTTCTGTCTGTGAATCGTAGAACAACAAACAAATTATGTACAAAAATAAGTTATTTCTGTCTGTGAATCGTAGAACAACAAACAAATTATGTACAAAAATAAGTTATTTCTGTCTGTGAATCGTAGAACAACAAACAAATTATGTACAAAAATAAGTTATTTCAATTTGTGAATCGTAACACAACAAACAAATTATGTGGCCAGGCATTGCCAGGTGGTTCAAAAAACAAACAAACCATATTATGGTTTTCCTAAGTTCAAACTGCTTTTCTCCAGTTTTAATATACTTAGTAAAGAATACTACATTAGCGCGGTTTTAGGGGCGAAACTGAGAATCGCCTAATATTGAGTAATATACCTTTTCAAACGTGTAGTTACTGTTTTCTAGTAGATTTAAATTGGTAATCCACAACAGACAACATAAACTAAAGAATGTGCTCACTTTATATGTGTATCAATAACCTCTGTTAGACAGTCATGAAACAAATTAAACACACGTCACCCGAGACCTCACAATCAAAGCATAATAGTAATAAGGAAGTAACATACTTGTAACTTCCATGATTCATAAAAAATTCTTGTTCTCTCTTTACAGCATCTTCGATCCTTTTCTTTTCGTCGATATCCTTCTGACTTCGATTTACAATTCCAATATAACCTAAATAAACCGATTTTTTTAAATTTCTTATCATAACATGAATCGAGCAATTAGAAACAACATAACAAAAACAAAATGTCTCTCGTTAATAATAAATAATATCAAATTTTCAATTATCTAATTAATCTCCTTACGAAACACCGTGTACAATGCGCCTTTATTATGCTATATATTTACATAAATTTGCAGTTTGAAAATAAGTTTGTTTTAAAGATCTAAAATGCAAGAGACACATGGCAATGAACGGGGATACGAGAACAAAAGAGAGACAACAAAGTACAAATAATTTTGGTGGTATTTGCTTTAGAAAAATAAGTATTATTTTTTATATTGGTGTGTCGGAATGCAGGGCTCTATGCTGCAGTTACGTCATCAAGCCAGAACCTTTCAGAGACAAACGACAAAATATATATAGAACACACGAACAGACTAGCGAACAAACCGATTTGCAAAAAAATAGAAATTTGACTCAAGTAGACAGTTAGATGATAATATATATATATATATATACAGTATTATTTACCATGAAATAAGAAGAAAAACTAATTGACAGGTAAACAGACAACGCCAAATACCAAATGATAAATAGAGACAGGTAAATTTGTAACATCATATGCATAAAGACAGGTAGATATACAGTATATATTACAGATAGACAGACAAAGATGGTTAGGTAGACGTTAAAAGATGGGTAGATAAACAATATATATTACAGAGAGACATGCAAAGATGGTTAGGTAGACGTTAAAATATGTATAAAGATGGGTAGATAAACAATATATATTACAGTTAGACAGGCAAAGATGGTTAGGTAGACGTTAAAAGATGTATAAATATGGGTAGATAAACAATATATATTACAGAGAGACAGGTAAAGATAGTTAGGTAGATGTTAAAAGATGTATAAAGATGGGTAGATAAACAATATATATTACAGAGAGACAGGCAAAGATAGTTAGGTAGATGTTAAAAGATGTATAAAGATGGGTAGTAAAGATGGTTAAATAGATGTATAAAGATGGATAGATAAACAACAACAAAAGATACACATGGATAGACAAAAACAGACAAACGGATTGAAAGACTATTTGGAACAAAGCTATATACCTCTTTGAAGAAGAAAAACTTTGTTTTCTAAAACATCCCGAGCATCTGTCCCCTGGTCCATCAAGTCCAACTTTGTTAGGACACCAATAGTTCTTTTACCTGAGTCAAGGAAGAGTTTCGTTAAAAGATATACATTTCTTTAGTTTGAAACAATTTTGTTTAAAATGTAACTATAGTAACGCGTAACACGGAGAAGAGATATTCATTAAAGTAGTTATAAACCTATACGTGTAGTCTGAAGTAAGGAGTTTCGTTATCTATTGTTCTGTATAATCTGAACTAAGGACTTTTGTTTAAAATGTAACTATAGTAACGTGTAACACGGAGAAGAGATATTCATTAAAGTAGTTATAAACCTATACGTGTAGTCTGAAGTAAGGAGTTTCGTTATCTATTGTTCTGTATAGTCTGAACTAAGGATTTTTTGTTAAATACCTTTTGTTTTATATATATATAGTTTGAAGTAAGGAAATAAGTATTCGAACACTAAGCATTGTATGACTGAATCCATTTAGGGCAACGCGGATGATAAGCCATTATAATGAAACTAAACATATATCTCAATACTTTATTCAAAACAAAAACCAGTAAGAGTTTTCGGTAAGAAGAGTTTTGAATTTTTGAAGTTAAGCACAAAGCAACACAATGGGTTATTTGTACTCTGCCCAACACGGGTATCGAAACCCGGTTTCTAGCGTTATAAGGCTGCAAACATACCGCTGTGCCACTGGGGGAGGGGAGTAGGGAAGAAGAGAGAATCCTAGCATTTCAACTACAATATCTAGGGGGAGGGGAGCAGGGAAGAAGAGAGAATCCTAGCATTTCAACTACAATATCTATTTCGAACGTCGCTACATCAGACATCATCAGGTTTAAAGTATGCTGTAAATATGCCTTATAGTATTTTCAATTATTTGGATCGTTAACACTAGAAATCCAAACGTTCAAGATCTTGGAAAACATTAGCTAGAAAACATATCCAATTTATGACACTAATTAAAGAATAACTAATAGAAATAAACAGAATTGACCCACCAAAAATATATCAACGTTTTCTCTAGATTTGGAAAAATGATAAAAGTATCATATCAGGCAAAAAAGAAAACGAAAAAGACCAAACATTTTTTATTCATATTATTATTGATAAACATCTCAAGAACTTAATGAATATAACCCTGTTTAAACAATAGAAAGGTACACTATAAACAACACATTTGTTGTGAGCATTTAAAACGTGAAGAAATAAGATCAAAATCAAGAACGCTGTCCTAAATTTTCGAAATTTGAAGATATCGAAAAATGTTTACTAGGTGTCATCAACCACTGATTACTAGATGAGATTTTATTATCAATTAATCT